TAAGCCCCGCCCCTTCCACGGACGGCGACAGGCAGGAAGTGACGTCATCACGACGCACCGGGACGGTACGCGCTGCTACGCAACGCGGCCCACTGCGTTCTAATTGTTTCCCAATTAACGAATAAATCAGTACTTTACGTGCGCATCTTTATTTAAAAGAACAAAACCAAAACAATAAATCCACAAAAGACTGACAGCTACAGCCCGTGTGTATATACACACACAAATACATATAACCTCCCCCCCTTTTTCTCAAATAATTCAGCCTGTTCCGATGTGGTTTTAGGCAACAGCCGACTTTATCAGTCTGAAATACTCAGTTTCCGACGCCAGGCGGCACACGTTCCGCTTTTTTCAGAGCGACGTTCTCTGGTTTATAAAGTTTACCTCGGTCGACCGACCAAATTCCCGGCGCAGAGTCTTCACCCACACAAGCTCCTGCAAGCATCTCTATTTTGGACCAGTTATGGTCTTTTTTGGTCGTAAGATCTATTAAGAAACTTCTCCAGTGAGCATTCCGGTCATGGATCTGGGGGGGAAAAAAAAAAGCAGAGGAAAACCAGTTAAACCAACTACATCTGATTTTCTTTTTTTCCTAATGATAACTTGAATAACTGAAGATTTAACCCAGTGCAAAATCAAACAGCAAAAGCTGAACTCTGAAGCGTAAGAACAAGTCTGTTTTGCCAACTCTGTGCTGATTTTCTGGCTCTGCTGTCAGAGAACATTTCCAAAATTTCAGCATATGGGCAAACTTTAACTTAAAAACTTGTAATTGGATGAAAAAACCCTTATGTTGTGTCTTAGTAGTCACTTCCAGGACCTGACAGGTCTCTGAAAACAGCTCAGCAATTCATTTTTCAGAAAACTGCAATGCTGGAAACACGTAAAATTGTATTTATTCGCAACACGAAGATGTTATAAGGGGACTTAAAAGACCACAGTAATATAAAACGTGACACTGTGCCTTTTCAGGACAAGGATTCAATCACAAATTCACATTTTAAACAACCATTAAAATCAGATTCAAAGACAATACAATCAGCAGCTGGGAGGTGACCACTTCGACAGACAGCAGGGGGAGCCGCCGGTGGAAAATTGAGAAATAAAAGTATTTTAAAAGCCACCTGTAGAAGGTTGATCAATCCCCTGACCCCAGTATTTGCTCTTCCACGTTTTTTTTCATAAAAGACAGAACTTAAGCAGCAATGCAAACCCTAATTAAGCTGAGAAACTTCTTTCGGTAGTTAATTACCACGTGGGCACCCGAGAGGGCCGGCGTACCGAGGCGTGTCTGCGCAAGGTGGACATGTCCGTGAAGGTCCTCTCGCAAGCTCGGCACTTGTAGGGCTTCTCCCCGGTGTGAATGCGCTGGTGACGCCGGAGAGCGCCCTGTTGGGTGAAGGTTTTCCCGCACTGCTCGCAGAAATACGGACGGGTCTCTGGAAAACAAACAGAAAAACTACCCCAAAAAGCCTCGCCAGGAAGCACAGGGTTAGAAGGCACGTTCTATCAGGCCCCGACTTCAGCAAAGAGTAGAGAATTTTTAACGGGTCAATAGTGATCAAGCATCATGTGGAACGATACGACAATTGTTTAATAATCCACCAAGCAGTTCCTAAGAGATGTTGTGGAGCAAAATGGCACCACCCAAACTGGAAAGTGCTTCAGACCCAAGCTTCCAGTGCTGCTCATTCTATTTTATTAAAATAGAAAGAAAGGAAGAAAAGGAGGACAAGGAGGACAAGGAGGACAAGGAGGACAAGGAGGAAGAAGGAAAAGAGAAAAAAGGAAAAAAGAAAAGAAGAAAAAAAAGAAAAAAGGAAAAAGAAAAATAAAAAGGAAAAATAATAGAAAAAAGAAAAATACAAAGGAAAAATAGAAAAAGAAAAGTGAAAAAAGAATAAAGAAAAAAGAAATAGAAAAAGAAAAGTAAAAAAAGAAAAGAAAGAAAAAGAAAAAAGAAACAGAAAAAAAGACAAAATACAAAAAAAAAAAGAAAAAAGAAAGAAAAAAAAAAGAAGAAAAATAAAGGGAAAAAAAAGAGTTTGTTCAGTTACCTGCATGGACATTGCTGTGCTGGGCTAGCGAGGCTCTCAGCCCAAATGTCTTCCCACAAACGTCGCACTTGTAGGGCTTAGCACCCATGTGGCATCGCTTGTGGCATTTTAAGTATTCGTTGGTGGAAAAATGTTTCCCGCACACATCACATTTGAAAAGGCGCTCTCCTGAGGGAAGAGATCAAAAATGTCCTCCTGAACTCTTCCAGCAGAACTCCGTGATTCAGAAAGTTGGGGTTTTAGTATTTAACACCTACCTGTGTGGGTCCTTTTGTGGCCTGTGAGTTTGCCTTTATCGGCAAAGCAAGCCCCGCAGTCCTCGCAAATATACGGCTTTTCCCCTGTGTGGGACCTAAAAGAAGCGAAACACAAATGGGGATTAATAAAATCAGCTCCCGCAGTGCATTCTTAAAAGAATGTATTTGAAATTACGTTCTACACACTACAGGCAGCGTGCTTCATTTTTTAAAGAAAGTGGGGGGAAAAAAAATAATAAAAAAAAATTGAGAAAGTCTGATCCTAATGTTTGGTCTTAACCCTTATTCCAACCCAAATAGTACAACACGTGCGAAAATGGGTAATTTTGACTCGTCAGGCAAAACACTACAAATCTGAGCCAGCCAGTAACCCGAGGCAAACCCCAGGAGTCGCAGTCACCCCACGAGTCACAGTCACCCCGCATCCCGCACACAATGCGGCTCCGCTGCCTTTCAGCCAAGAAGAGATTATCTCGATGTTCCAGATGTTTTGCTGGTCCTGAATCAGCATACCTCGGCATTTTTTAAATCACTTCATTTTTTTAATAATTTTTTTAATCCTCTCCTTTAGCCCTCCAACAGTTAACCTCCTCTCCTAGCTTTCTGCTAGGCTCCCTGTTTGGAGAAAGATGGGGAATTCCCCAGGATGATTCGCCCACATTTAACACCAGAGAGCGATTCACCCAGCCTAGCTCCAATGACCACGGAGGGAGTCCAGACGAGAAGCGCAGCTTTTGTTGCACACACACAAAAAATGAAATCCCGCATTAAATGACTCACTGAGAGTGATACAGAGCGAGCAGGGCTCAGCATCTGGGGCTCTGAGGACTAATTCTTCAGCCCACATTATTTCTCATCGGTGAAGGTCATCACCTTATTTTGAAGGCTGTCTCCAAAGACTGGCTTTTTTGCTTCACATAGAGTATATTTCAAAATCCTTACTAAAACCAACGCAGTCACCAGCTGCTGACAAAGCCTTTACGTAAAAGAATTAATCACAAGATACTACAGAACAAATTACCTCCCAGTGTTCCTCCTGTAAGTACACGCGAGGAGAATGACTAGAGATTGGGAAGTTAGGAAGAGGAGGAAGAAGTGCTGGAGTACACAGGGCATGCAGGGAATGGGAACAGGAGAAGCAGAACCTTAGGCTGACCTGGTATGGATCTTAAGCTGTGATGGCTGAGCAAACTTGGAGTGACAAACGCCGCACTTGTATGGTTTTTCTCCTGTATGTGTCCGCATATGGAACACTAGCGCTGTTCGGGAACTGAGGATCTTCCCGCAGACAGAGCAGAGAGGGCGTTTGACTCTGCCTTCGTGCTTCCGCATGTAATGTGTCCTCACGTCTCTCTTCCTTTTGAAAGTAGCGTTGCAAAGGGTGCAGGCGAACTGCCTCTCCTCAGTGTGGACACACGCTCGGTGCTCCTTCCAGCTGTTGTAACTAGCGAACGACTTGCTACAGATGTCACACTGATAGACTTTGCCGGGCAAGCACTGATGGACATCTCTGCAGTGATCCACGTACTTTTTCCATGAAACAAACTGCTCATTACACTTATCGCACCTTATTACATAGGTGGATTTCTTACTCGTCCCACTTTTATTTATTTTCTTCATTTTAAGCTCTTCATCCGATCCATGTTCTCCACCACGCTTCTCATTAGAGCATCCGTCATCCTCATCATCCCCCTCGGTACAGACCTCTTCATTATCTCTACTATCCTCAACTTCTGAATACCCCACTTCGTAATGTGCCTCCTCCTCCTCACCCTTCACACTCATTTCACCTTCATCATCATTCCCTTCCTCTCTCATTTTTTCACTTCTTGATCCAACTTCCTTATGTTTCCACTCCCATTCTTCTTGCTCATTGCTACGGTCAACTTTGTCAAGGGATGAACCCGCTTCCTCACAACTTGTGGCCTCTTTGTGCCTCACACACTCTTGCTGTTCAGCCTCCGACGCCCCATCCCACCCGTCTCTGTCAGGATCTCTGTCACAGTTTGTCACGTTTGGTCTACGTGCAGATGGAACCACCATCCAGTAGACGGGCATCAGTTTCCTCTCTTGCCTGGACTCGTGGATTTTCCTGTTAAACAAAACAACAGAGCATAACTTCAGTAAGTTTGTTTCAATTCAGGCATGTCTGCCTCAGAGGAAGAGTCGCTTCCTTTAACTTGTTCCTGACACCACTGAAGAAATTAACAGCATGTTGGGGGAGCCAACAACAGGGCAGTTTTGGGTAGAGTTGGCCCAGACATCAGGCAGGGCACTCAGACAGCTGACACACAGAGTGGATTTCGCACTTCTGGAAACTACCACACAATTTCAACATCTTGTCTTCAGTCAGGCTTAATAAGCCTCTCTGGAAGCTCATGGCACCCAGCAAAACAGCACCGGGGATATCTGGCCCATGACAATCACACTAAAAAGCACTACGCTGCCCTGATGTTTGTGGAACAGGCATTTTCTTGGGTATTTTAAACAGATCCTGATTCTTTTGGGGCTTCTATTTGAAAACTCAACTCCAAGATTTCCAAAATGACCTAACAGATCATAGAATCATAGAATGGCCTAGGTTGGAAGGGACCTTAGAGATCGTTTAATCCAACCTCCCTGCCATGGGCAGGGACACCACAAGTTGCACAAGTCCTCTTTGATTCAACTGCAACCATTCGCCTCCATTCCCAGTGTGAGTGACCTCAGATCAACCAGATTGAGAACTCGAGGTCAATAGAAAAAATAAAATCTGTGCTGATTCCAACACACTTCAGACCCAAGCAGTTCTGGAACTAAGGCAGTGAGGACTTCAGGAAAGCTTTTAGCCTGGCACCCAGAGAGAAAAGAGCATTTTCTTGTGCACACACAGACATACACACACACACACACACAGAAGGCTGTACCTTACGTGAGTGCTGTAAGCAGACCTCTGAGCAAAACTAGCAGGGCAGTGTTCGCATTTATAAGGTTTCTCCCCCGTGTGCATTCGTATGTGGACCGTGAGGCCACACTTGGAACTGACAACCTTGTCACAGTATGGGCAGGCCTGTGGGTCCCGCTTCTTCTCGTGCACCCTGCGGATATGGTCATTTATTTCCTTCCGGCATTTAAACCTCTTGTCACAAAACATGCAGGAGAAACCCTGCTCCTCGCGGTGAACAGCAAGGCAGTGCTGCCGGAGGTGCTGGTGAGAGGAGAAGAGCTGCTCACAGGTCTGGCAGCTGTACTTGACAGCCAAGGTAACGTCGTGCTTGAGCTCCATGTGCGACTGGTACTGCTTGATAACGCGGAACGATTTGCCACACTTCTCACAGGCGAGCCGCGGCAGGCCTTGGGCCACACGCCGCGGTGATTTCCTACGGCCCATTTTAGCAGTGAATTTGGAAATTATGCTGTTCTCACCTTCCCACTGCTCAGACAGAGTGTCCCTAATTACTACACAGGCTTCCTTTGATTCAGTCTGACTTAGGAGAGAACGACTATTCTCCTTTTCTTGATGAACAGCATTCTCACCGAGTCTGTTTCTGGTATGTGTCCTGTTACGTTTCAGTACTTTTGTCGTCCTGGGGTTTGGGTCTGGAAAAGCAGTGTCCTCTTGCTCCAGGGTTGCTGGTTGGCCTTCAATGAGTTCATAGCCAGCCAGCAACTTTTTACACTTTTGCCTATCCCAAAGTTTCCTCTGCATGACTTGGGAAGAATTACCGAGTTTGTGGATCTCCTCTTGCTGGACACAAGTCCACGGTGTCCCACCATTTTCACACAGCTGCCCTTTCAGATGGAGGCTCAGATCTAACCCCTTCCTGCCCTCTGCTTTTGCTTCTTCACAAATGTCAAGCAAATCCTTGCATTCAAGCCTTTCGGCAATTTCCTTCATCCTTTGCAGCTTTTCTGCTTCAATCTCCACCTCCGCTGTGTAAACGAACTCCAGGAATGAAGTGAACTCTTCCGTGTAAATGTCTTGCAGAGTCACTGTGCAATTCTTGGTGTCCAGCATCTCATCGTGCAGGAAAAGCCCCTTGAAATAGTTGCTGGAAGCAGCCAAGACAGCTTTGTGAACCAGAAACTCCTCCTGAATTCCTAGGTGTTGCGTGTGAACGGTCACGTCACAGAGGTGGCCAAACTGATACAGTGAATGCAGGGCCTTCAGGAGGTTAGGAGCAGCAACCTTGGATTTCATTCGAATCTTCTTTTTCTCCATCCTGCCAGAAAAACAGACTAATGTTTGAGTGCTTGCTCTCCCTCTTCCCTAAGCTATCTTTTCATTCATATATAACATCAATCATGTAAAAAGCTCAGTGGAGATGCACGCCCTAATTCCCAATTTACAAGATGTAGTAAAGACCTCAAGGTTGTTTCTATCAACGCAGATGTCATCAGCAAACACACTTGGTTTACTACAGTCGCAGATCTGGATTTACACTCGAGGATAACCCTTCAGAGCCAATATGCTATAGCACAGATAGTAACAGTAATGAAACATGAGTAACATGGTTGGCCCAGCTTAATAATAAAACATACAAGCGCTTTTCAACAGCAGAGGTCACACCAATTCATAGTGGAAACAAGCATCTTTCCCCCAGTCTTGTACCAAGAGGGAAGTGAAGCGTAGCAAGTCACTTCCCGTCCAATTGTTTCCAGCCTAGCGCTGAAACAGAGTCCGTGTTTTGCCAGTCACACCAGGCTCCACTCCTGAAGCCTGGCAGCCCCTCCTGCCAAAGCACAGGAATAAAGTCTTTGGATCTGGTTCAATTTTGTTTCTGTTTTTCTTCTTCTTCCCCCCTCCACATAAACAAGCAGACCTAGGGGTTAATAACAACAGTCAATACGTTTCTATTGTATTTGGTCATTTAATACATGGCAGACAAACTACCCATCTAGAAATAGCTACAAAAAGTTAGAGGAGGTAATAGTGTTCTATCTGAAAAATGTTTCAAAACTACTTGTTCAACAAGCAGAGGGGTCAGAAGCTTTTTTTGACATTTTCAGAATGACCAGTTTGCATTTCCCCATCACTTCTAGAGGCAGACACGAGCTTCTACGACAGCAAATCTGATGAACACCGTGGATTTCCTGTCTCAACCCACATATTGTGCCTATCCCATCAGAACAAGCCTTGCCCACAAAATACAGTAATTACCCTGTCAACCTCACTGAGGCCTTTAGGCGCTCTGATCTGATCCTCTAAGCTGATATTCTCAGCCCAGCGTAGTTTTTCAATGTCTGTTATTTAGCACATGCTTACAAAAGCTTTATTGTAAGCATGTAAGGGAAGAACTTTAGGCCAAAATAAACACACACGTCTGCCTGTTATTTCTTAAAGGCTCCGTTTCAGCTTGGCTTGCTGCGCTTCCCTCTCACAGTAATAATGGCTGGCAGAAAATGACACCAAACTCTACTTTCACTCCCCATCTAAATTACGTTTGACATTACATTAAACGCATTCCTGGCAGATATAAACTGATTAAGACAAATGTGTCTTCAACATAAAGCACCAGGAAGTCAAATACAATACATAGCCTAGAGTGAACAGATTTGAAAAGAAAGCTTAAAAGATAGCTTTGAGAATACACTTCCTATTACAAGCTACCACAGCAAGCACCACAGAGTATAACCATCTTCTTAATCTGCAAGGCATAAGTCACTTGATGCCTGTGATGCCCCAAATAATGTTTTAGAAAATAGATTTAAACCTTTAAATGCACTCCATTACGTGGTGCTGGAATGTGTTCAAAGGAAACGGACAAGATTTCTACTAGGTATAAAATGTCTGTAAATTGGGAGAACCTCAAATATTTGTACTTAATTTGGGGTTTGATCCTGGGTACTTGATGAGCTCCTGCGAGAAGTCCCACCCTGATCGATGGGATGGCTCGGGGTTCTCAGCCTTCTCATCCAGCTGGTGCAGAACCTCCTCACTCCCTCACTGCTGGCTAGGTCAAACACCTTTACTCAGAGAAAACAAAAATATTATGAGAGGAAAAATACTCGGGGAAAAGCATCTAGAAGAAAAAAGACAAACAAAGCACGTGTTGAAACATCCCCCAGTGGCTAGAAACGGAGCTACGGTAAGGAGCAGCGTGGATCCAGAAGGTTCATACCTATATTCAGCCCACAAATTCACAAAAGCTTCCACTTAATCTGTCCCCTGGCTTGTCCTTCTTAATGTTTTCCGACAGGATATCCTTCTCCATTTCTGTGCACAACTTACCCCTCCAGTCACAAAGCTCACCAATCGGTAGCACTTGAAGAAATCAATGAGGAGAGCACATGCTAATTTCCTCCTGCTCCTTTTTAAGATCCCCATCTGCGATAAACTCCTGATACGCACTCGCATGTGAGTGCCACTAATATCTGATCCTAAGCCAAACGAAGCGTGTTCCAACATCAACTCTTTGTTCAGCTGGTTCTAGATCAAATTAGCCCAGAAATGGCTTAATGAAATGCCTTTCCCACAAAAAAAATGTCACAAGTTAATCAATCCTCACAATTCCGAAAAAAAAAAAGAAAAAAAAAAGGACTGTACTTTTTGTTACCGTTGGGAAAGGACATTCACCCTTAGTTTTGCAAAGCAGAGCTGAATACAGCTTGTTTTCATGTTTCACATTCTCATGAGGTTGAGTCAAACACAACGTTTCAGGACTATAAAACAGTACATAAGATTACGTTTTCCCACTAAAAAAATTTTGAGGTAATAGAAGATTTTAAGTATTTGCTTTCATTTTGGAGGTAAGGAAGCAGCTTCTTATCCCCAAAGGATAGGAAAGCTATTTTCTCCTTACAATTCACACTTCATTAACACCTAACAAGAGAAGGTTCTTGAGGAATTCCCATCCACAGCAACAGGAATGACAAATTTTGCAGTGAATCGTCCGCTTACTGAATCAAAGAGAAGGACATATTTTGTTCTAATTGTAGGTTAATGTCATCTTGAAATAGCCAGCAGTAACTGAATAGGAAAAATACCAGTAACATCATCGACAGGTTTAACTCTACCCTCCAGGAGCTGCTTCAACAGGAGGGTTCACAGAGAGAAGAATAAAACCAAGCTGACCACAGTGGGTCAGCATGAACCCGTTACCACTTAGGAAACCAGGAAGTGAAATTAGCTGGTGAGTGGTTAAGAGCCCTAATCAACATCGTTCTGCTCTCTGAAACTATTTCCGAAAGCAACAAGTTGCTAGGCTCCCAGATGCTGACTTGAATGGGAAGATTTAAACGAAAACAACATTTTTTCCCCCACGTATTGCATCTTACGGGTTTGTTTGTAACTTCTTTCAGCTTTTTACCCAGCAATAAGGGGATTAATATTTTTAAAAATTCGCATGTATGCAAGATTTGCAGAAAACTTAATTAACCTAATCACCGCAAAAGCCAAACCATATTTCAATTCAATTACAGTTCGTGATAAGGCCACTGGAATAAGTACAAATGTTTTTAAAAATTAAAGCCTAACAGTGGCTTCCCAATCTTGCTAGATTAATGATTGGACTCAATGACTTTTAAGGTCTTCTCCAACCAAAATTATTCTGGGGTTTTTACTTGCTCTGTGCTATAGTGCTTCTTTTTAAATGATGCAACGACACAGTCAACAGCAGCTCTCTAATTCAGGACAATTAACACTGTAAATGAAGACATCTGCAGGAAGGACAGGGAATATTTCTAAAACGTTGTTTCTTGGGCTTTCTCTTCCTGCCTACTTTGCAATGTCTAGAGGCCAGAACCTTAACTGGTGTGATATAGCACAGGTGTTCCAAAGTTTGGACAGTGAAGGTACACTGATTTATACACCCAAGTACCTAGGGGAGAAAAATCCAGTATGTTGAAGAAACTGAATTATGTACTTCTCAAAAAAAAAGTTATTTCACATAAATATGCCCTTTTTGCAAACTATACCTAGTCGATGATTGCTTGATTTTTCCCAGAACCCTTCCAATTAGATCTCTTCAGAGAAGCAAGGAGGAAATTCTTCCTTAATTTACTTTCCATGGGAGGGTTCCTTTAAACTCTCAATAGCTGCATGTTCACATAGAACAAAGGGCTCTGACAGTGGTCAAATGAGAACCCTTGAACTATCGACCGTCTTAGGAAATAATAATAAAATCCTGGTGTGTCTTACTTGATCGTCTTTACTCTCTGCAGAAACTACCCAGATATCTGTCTGAAGTGCTGGTATGGCCTAAGAGTGTTTAATCGCTCCTCCTGATGCCTCTTGGCAGAGCTAGCCCAACATAGGTAGGTCGTAACAGCAGCGGAACACCCCAGACCTTCATTGGAAAAACGAGGCACTCAAAAGATCAGATTAAACATCCAGCGCTGCGGTAAATCAGGCAGAATGTTTAAGAGTACACAAACCACCCTAAGTAAAGGGCAATAAGACTCATTGCCGCAGATGTGTAACACGTAGCTTCAGCCCTCAAACAAGCCATACTTGCGATATTTTTGTTCTGTGTTTCTCTTTTTTTTTCCTGTAAAACCAGGTAACACTCACCTGTCTTAAAGATGGATCACAGTGATAAAAATACATTAAAAGTAGGGAGCTAATAAGCTCACATGGGTGTAAAAGAGCATTACAAGGACACGAAGTTACCCAAACTGGATTCATTATCTGGAAGATTAAGCTTATTCATGCAAATTCCCACAAAACATAGGTATGTCAGCAAACAGTAACAACCACAGGTCCTGGCCTGCCTGTGCACGGCAGGATTAAGCAGAGGAGTTGCCAGTCAGGGCATCCCGCCCTGAGGCTGCTCGGCTCCCAGCGGAGGCCTAGCAGCCTCCATGCCTCTCCTCAGCCAAGGCGTCA